ATTTGAAGAGTATTTAAAGGTGAATTACTTAACATATATTCATTTATAATTAAGAGAATTTTTTCTTGAATATTATCTAATTCATATGAAAGATTTTCTTTATATTTAAGAATAAGATTATCATTAATTTGAATAGATAATTCTCCACGTGTTTGTCTTAATGCATGAACACGATAGAGTGTTCGTTGAAGTAAAAAACAAGTTGATTGTAAATTTTTTTGTATTAATCGAAGTTCATTACATAAATCATATGAAAATGTACATTGATATTGATCTTTTTTTTCAATATCAAATAAATTAATATTATCATTTGTAAGATTTTTTTGTAATTGATATATAAGTATACTTGTTTTTGTTAGACAAAGAAGATTTTCTGTTTGTCGAAAAAAAATTTTCAATATTGAATTCATTTTATTATCGAAATATGAACAAATCAAAAAAACAACAAGCAATAAGAAAAAAAAATAAAGAATATCAGTCAAATTTTTTTTTCTTTATTGAACATGGCGCATTAAAAAGAATGGTTTGTCATTAACCTTCTCGTCTTCATCAAAATGGATTTCTATACGCTTGAAAGACGGTAATGTCATTTATTGGCTACGGAACATTACTTCGATAATTACTATATGTAAAAGAGAATAGAAACAGTTCAAACTGACAATATCTGATTTTAGACATACATATATATATATATATATATGATCAACTCTTTTTATAGTTAAATTTAAAAAAAAAAGATTTGATCATAAGTAAACAAAAAAATGTAATGGATATTGTTTTTTAATGTATATATATATTACGTCCCCTGTTCCCTTACTTTTCTTTAATTTCATAATGTTTTTTTTTGATTTATACATGGCAGTTACTTTTGTTTGATCGTTGTCTTTCGTGACATTGAATAAACGTTCAAGTATACCATACGAAATCAAGAGAAGTATAAAAAGGAAATTGTACATGTCGTCAAAGTCAAACAAAAAAGACTTCTCACTTGAAGTGATTAAGTTCTCGTGCATGCATATATTCAATCGATACAAGAGTATATGTGCGTGTGCCTTTTCATATGTAAACATAAAATTCTTCGATGAACGACTGATGACCTTTCGTCTCGTCTTTTCTTTCTTAATCCTCGTTTTTTTTGTCCTTTTAAATTTTTTTTTTGTATAATGAATCTATATGGTCAATCGACAATAGTAGCAGCTGCCTCTCTTTTTTTTTTTTTTTTTTTTTTTTTTACTTTAGTTTAACATGGTGATTATTATTCTATTGAACGCTCGTTGTTCACTTTTTTTTTTCCATCTCCAATATTTTTCTTTGCCTTTCTTTTGCTGTCATTATTCGTACACGTGTACACTTTTCTGGTGTGTGTCATTGATGTAGGCTCAAACACTTCATTTTTTTCTCATATTCTTTATGTATGAGAGAAAGAGAGAACAAATGGTAGTGGTCATGATGATTTTAATTATAGTAGATGTTGATTGATTCATTGCTTCTTTTCTTTCATTGATTTAATTTCTTTTCTAGAACAGTAATTGATGTTATAAGTATTACTGGACACACCCTCAAATGGTAAATGACCTTCAAAATTTCAATGAAGGTAAATGATAATTTTTCTTTTCTTTTTTTTTTTTTTGAAAACTTCTAAAATCTCAATTAATTCTATAAGTGTGCCGTTGAGTAAAGCATATAAAAAAAAAGACGAGAAAGAAGGCTTTTTTCTCTTGTGTGTGTGTGAGGGCGTGTACTCAAGATTTGATTGATACATTGAGGTTTCTTTTTTTTTTGTTTTTACTTTATCTCTTAATGTTGAAAGATAGACATGAAGAGGTACTTATTCTTCCGGTTCGAGGTCATTCTCAATTAGTTATTCATTTCTTCTAACAGTAGTTAGTACGAGTAGCTTATGATTTTTGCATGAGAGGAAGGTCATGTTGCTTATGTCTGTCGACGGC